GGGGTGGGGGGAAGGGGTCAGCCCCTGGGGGTTGGGACCCCCGGCCCAGCCGGAGCCGTTCCACGTCCCCCTGCCCCCTTGCGTCCTCTTCTGCCCATCCCCATCCCATCCCATCCCATCCCACCTGACCCATCCTATCTCATCCCATCCCATCTGTCCCCATCCCATTTATCCCAACTGTCCCAGAGATCCCACCTTACCCATCCCACCCCACAGATCCCAGCCATCCCATCCCAACGTTCTAATCCCAGCCATCCCATCCTGTCCCCATCCCATCAGAGCCACCCATCCCACAGATCCCAGCCATCCCATCCCAGCGTTCTCATCCATCCATGCCATCCCAACCTTCTCATCCCAGCCCATCGATCCCATCCAGCCCATTCTGTCCCCATCCCACCCCACTCCATAGGTCCCATCCCATCCATCCTACCGCAACCTTCTCATCCCACCCATCCCATCCCCATCCTATAGATCCCATCTCATCCATCCCATAGATCCCACCCATCCCATCGCAACCTTTCCATCCCATCCTGTCCTCTTCGCATCAACCCCACCCATCCCACCCCACCCGACCTCATAGATCCCACTCATCCCACCTGTCCCATCTCATCCATCTCCTCCATCCCAACCCACCCCACCCCATCAATGCCATCCCTCCCAGTCCCATCCCATTGATCATGCCCCGCCCTTGCCCACCCGCAGCACCTCCCACGGCACCACCCGCACCTTCTCCAGGAGGTAGTTGTGGATGTGGCCGCCGGTGGGATCACCCTTGAAGTCAAAGTTGATGTCCATGTACTTGCCGAAGCGGCTGGAGTTGTCGTTGCGGTTGGTCTTGGCATTGCCAAAGGCCTCCAGGACACAGTTGGACTTCAGCAGCACGTTCTTCACCCTGGGTGGTGTGGTGTGGCACGGCACGGCATAACGTGGCACGGCACCATGGCATGGCACGGCTACAGCCTCACTGATGGACTTGGGACACAGCACCCCTGGGCTCCCCACACCACTCATATGGCCATAGGGTCCCCCAGTCCCCCCACACCATCCCTATGGCCATGGGCACCCCAGGACCCTCCAAGGAGCACCCCACAGGCATGGGGCACCCCAATCGCCCCACACCTTCTTGACGGCCATGGGGCACCTCAGGACCCTCCAGCACCACCGCACAGGTGTTGGGGCACCCTGGTCCTGCAAGATCATCCCTATGGGCATGGGGCACCCCAGCCCCCCAGGACCATCCTTATGGGCATGGGGCACCCCTAGTTGCCCCACACCATCCCTATGGGCAGGGGGCACCCCAAGACTCTCTAGAACCACCCCACAGGCATGGGGCACCCCTGGTTTCCACTCAGCATTCCTCTGTGTATGGAGCACCGTGGTCCCCCAAGACCATCCCTAGGGGCATGGGGCATCCCAGTGCCCCCCCAGAGCACCCCACAGACATGGGGCACCTGTGGTCGCTCCACACCTTCTCAATGGCCATGGGGCACCTCAGCATCCTCCAGAAGCAACCTCCAGGCCCATGGGGCACCGCTGGTCACCCCACACAAACCCTATGGCCATGGAGCACCCCAGGACCCTCCAGGACCACCCCTGGTTGCCCCACACCTTCTCAATGGCTATGGGGCACCACAGGACCACCCCTGGTTGCCGCACACGTTCTCAATGGCTATGGGGCACCCCAGGACCCTCCAGGACCACCCCACAGCGCCACCCCTGGTTGCCCCACACCTTCTCAATGGCTATAGGGCACCCCAGGACCACCCCACAAGCACAGGGTCCCCCCCAGCCCTGGGCTGGCAGGTCCATGGGGCGCACACCCCAGCACCCATCCCTCCCTCCGTCCGTCCAGTGCTGTGGGGCTGGACCCACCTCTCCACCTCGGCGCGCTGGGTGGGGTTGGTGATGGCAGCGATGTACTGCATGATGTATTTGCTGGCCTCCGTCTTGCCCGCCCCGCTCTCGCCTGGCAGGGAGACCAGGGGCTGGGTAAGGGCGCCCACCCAAGGGTGCCCCCCCCTCCTCCCGCAAGGGCGCCCCCCCCCTACCCGAAATGACGATGCAGGTGTCCTTGGCG